TCGTCGTCGTCGTCTCTCTCTCTCTCTCTCTCTCTCTCTCTCTCTCTCTCTCTCTCTCTCTCTCTCTCTCTCTGTGCTCGAAAATCTTTAAGCTATTACAACGCTTTCGACGAGACAAATAACCGACGCAAATAACATTATTGCATCAAGACTAAACCAGAGTAATGCAAAGCTGGTGGAATGACGTGTCGTTATTCCTTTCCTAAATGCGCATACATTGTATTACTCTATTGTAACGTAATTATAAACCATGTATTAATGCTGAGATATATAAGCAGGTTTAGGTATACCAAACCATCCTCTCCATCTCTGTTATCCTTTTCATTTCCTATCGTATTTCGTTTCTTGTCATTATATTGTGAGAACTGACTCTCACTCTCTCTCTCTCTCATCATATAGCGATGCATATACATTTGTAGAAATGTACATATTACAAATGGTTGTTGAAGAGAAACCAGTTTACTGAAAAAAAAATATCTGCACAATATAAATATTTTATGCTGTTTCCTTTTTTAGCTTAAGAGCTCTTTACATTTTAATTATTTGGGATTTCTGAAAATATCTTGACTAGTTACACTTGTATTTGGATTAAAATAATACTTCAAATTGAATAGAATATGTAAATAATATTATTTCTAGTCTTATTGATAAAAGTATGTTCTAACTTGATGTATTTTATTTTTATATATTGTACGTATCAAGTGAAACATTAATCAAAATTAATGTAAAATATTTATTTATTTTACAAACTTTAATATATGCAAACTTTTCTAACTTCTATAAGTTATACTGATAAAATATACGAGAGGAAATGAAAAGGGGAAAACATTTCGGACGTGTTGCAGCAAATATCTGCATATTGTTCTCTCAAATACAAAATCTCTATGAGTTGGAAAACCTAATACTAATAGTCCCAAAGGACACTATTAAATTAGTGGTGGCCATTTTCGATATTGCATCGTCTGAGACGCGGAAGCCGTTATACACGTTTTCTAGCTCGTTCGTAATCGCTTTACGAGATTCGTTGGAGCCGTAACATCAATGCGATCGATCGCGTCGAGTGAATCGTGTATTCTCGGAAAAGGCTCGAATTATTCGTGATTTGTGTAGAAAATGGAGCACGTTGAGCGAAACTGGTTGAATCGTTAAGAAAGATGAAAATAAATTGCCTTACGGGGTAGATTCTCAGTAGGCCATTGATAAAGTGTGATTTGAGAAATGCTTTGTTTATTACGTCGTTAGAGAGTAAACCTTACTTATTCAGTTGAAACATGAAAATACACTTATTTGTTTGCAAGAAATCACTTCCTTATTGATTATATCGTGATAAATCCAATAGGGTTCTCTGTAGAAAGATGAATACGATTTTACAATACGATTATTTTTAGTACGTATTAAATTTTTAATTAAAAGTTTTAATTATATAATTATATGTCCACTATTTTGTCTAAAAACTTTAAGTCATTATTCGGACAGTTTTATTATCTTGTTGAACTAGTCGATTTTGCATTGAAAATATTTCGAGGTAGTTCTCGATGGTCTCCAAAAATTAAAACTTTACCACTTAAACTATTTTGAAGCAGTCGGAAAAGTTTTGCCGAGTGACTAAAGATGTATGTGATGTCTCATTGTTATGATTTTAGACGTTTTTCATTGTTTTCTGTAAAACTTTCTCCAAAGAGATTCGGAACTTTGAAAACCATTTTTAACAGCTGTGCTCGTCACTGCATCGTCTCCGTATATAATGCAAATCTTTCTTTGCATTTGCGTTGCATTTTTATCTTTCCAAAAATAAAAAAGTACAAGATGGTATAAATACAACTTATTATTTTCTATTTTTTAAACTATACTGTACAAATACAATTTAGCTAATCTAATTGCTTTTTTTTAACTCACAATAAGCTATAATATGTTATCTGACAAAATTATATAATATTTATAGATTGGAAATTAAGTTAGTTGGATAAATCTTCTTTGAAGACATTTATTGGAAAAATTTAAACAAACATTTAGTCAAACTCAATAAAAAGAGAATTAATGTTATATGTGTAGTGCAAGTCTTCGACAGAGTTTTTCGTTTTATGAGACTATGTTGTAGTCTTGTTTGCTTGTGAATATAGAAAACAGGGACTCTAGTTACTTGATACCCCTTTTCTCGCTATAATCTCGTCGAATTTCAAAGTCGAGAACAGTTAGCGAAACTCGGGAAAGAATCTCAGCGACTTCTCGAACTTCTTTCACGCAATTTAAGACGAGGGATGTCGAGAATGTCTTCAAAAGGAAACGAAAAAGAGCAGATCATTGATATCGAAGATATTGAAAATCTATAGATCATGCTTTATATTATAAAGGTATAAGGTAATGTAGACTACAAGTGTTTTGTTTTATACGAGAATTTCGTTTTGGATCAATTTATATAATTTAATCTTCAAAGATAATTTTTTACTTTTATAGAAGCTAAAGATTGAAAAACATAAAACATAAGTATATTTCTATTTGGAAAAAGATCTATGATGAAAAATTCAATTTTCGGTAAATCATTGAAAGAAAAATCATTTTTTTATCTATTTTATGTTATACTTTGTATAAGATATTCTTTAGCTGCTTTTCTTTTACCGTTTTTTAATAATAAATTTTTTATTAATTTTAATAATAAAATTTTTTTATTGACAAAAACAAAATAACAAAAATTCGAGTGCAAAAATGCCTTTAGCAAGAAAAATAATTATTTTTTGTAACTTTTTAATTTTTAATGTTTATTAACATAATTTTAGAAAAAATGAGACATTTCTACTAATTCATACGAACGATATTTTATCATATTGTATTTGATATATGCTTCTTACATTTTTGTTATTTTTCGCATATTTACATTTTTCAGATTCGATATTTATTATAATTTATCTTTGGTGATTATTTTTAATGATAAAAGGGTTCATGAGTAAAAGCTCGTAAACATGTGAAAATAACGAGACTTACAAGAAAGATCGAATGTATTGGAAATAATAAGCTATTTTCCCGCAAACTTTTCAATAATAAGAAAGTCTTTAATGCTTCCTATGGGATTTTTCTTTGCTTAAATATTCATTCCTATATTTGACAGACTTCTCGAAGAAAGAATCTTTTAGTAATTCAGCGAATCGATTTAATTTCCATCTGTATTTCAAGATAAATAATCTCGCAAAATTATTGTTCGCTCGATAGTTCTTTAAAACTATCAAATCTTAAACTCAATTTTTATATGATATGAGAATTTCTCGTAAATTTCTCTCTTTCGACTGTCACAGTCTTATAAAATGAATAAAAACTTATTAAATAATACGGTTATATTTAAATATAAATTTTACGATTGCCGCACGTATCATAATCTTTTTTCCTATATTTACACTTCTTTCCATATTGTTTTTTTTACCAGAAGAAATTATAAAACAAAGATTTGAAAAAAAGAGAGTTGTTTTAGTCATAAAGTACATTTGTCAACATTAATATTTACGCTACGATTGATTTTCTAAAATGCATTATTTCAATTTTTACTAATTATTGTTGTTTCAGAAAGTCAATCATAGTAAATATGAATAGGTGACAAATGTATGATGGGGATTGTCCCCTTCTTTTTCACTGAACAAAGTCACTTCGGCAATCAATTCGGCGTAAGTTTCTATTGCCGCTGTGAGCAGCCATTCGTGATCTATCGTATTACAGAAGCACCGAAATCACGAGTTCGCGTTTTATTGTCTTTTTTCTTTTGACCTACAAAGCGTGATCGCAAGGAGGAAGTATATTACGCCGAATGAGAAAATCGAATATCGATACGAAATTCTCTCCATTCAGATTTGTGTTCATATGAAGTGTTGTGCGATTTTATCTGCTAGCCCGGAATTTGATCGGATTAAAATCTCGCGATACTATAAACCTAACTTAACGAACGCGAAGAATCGCGTAACACAATTGGCAGTTTCG